TAAATTATTACAAAAGACTAACTCTCTTATTGGTGGACATTGAATTACATCAGAAAATTATGCATTTGACTTTGTGAAATGATGCTAAGATTAGGGCGTTGGGGAAAGGAGATAATGAAATCTGAAACATTTATAATTAAGAAACAGACTGTAAAGTTTGATGATTATATTTGCTAGGGCCTAAAATTCCAAAACCAGAATTGCATTTTACTGGACTCTGGCACTACCATTGCCAATATAATCTCCAACCTCTTTCCAGTATAAAAATAATAAAATAATAATAAAAGAACAAGGCTAGGCAAAGGAAAATTTCACCTGTTTGGGTTTAGACTCCAGAGCTCTAGGAAGAGCATCATAACTTGGGTGAGCTTGGTTGGATCATATGGCAACTCCTATGCCAAGAGCTAAGAGGTCTAAATAGCCTCCTTGTTTCCATTGGGAGCTGGGCTCTACCCCAACTGGAGGCTGTACCAAGTTATCTAACAGTGCTTGCACAGTACAAGAAAGAGAGGACCAAAGAGGAGATGGGAGAGAATCTACAAAGAGGCTCCAAAGAGCCTCTCTACTAGGATTAGAGATGCAGCTTCTTCAGCACAGCAAAAGTTTTGTTCTCCTTTCCATTCTCCTCTCCCAGGCTCCATATAACCTCTAATGTACCATAGCCTAACAATACATACTTATACCTTGATTCTGACCCATTCTTGGGCTATTCAGGAAAGGAGGCTCAAATCAGAGACCAAAATATTGCACATTTTCTCTTTATATTTGATGCTGTGTGTTTTCACCATGTGAGAAGGTATGTGAATTATATGTTTTAAAAATTTGCTTGGCATTTGTCATGCTCTTATTTATGCTATATCAATTAAGATTATGTTCAAAAGCCTGTTCAGAAACCCCAAAATAACAGTGCTTTGAATCAGGGTTGGCAAATTAGCTTGTGGGCTAAATTGGACCCACTGCCAATTTTGTGAAAAGTTTAATTGGAACACAACGATGTTTATTTGTTTATGTATCATCTGTGGCTCATTTTATGCTACAATGACAGAGTTGGATAGTTTTGACAGAGACTGTAGAGCCTACAAAGTCTAAAATATGTCTATTGGCCCTTTACAGACAATATTTGCTAAACCCTGGCTGAAACAATATAAATTCATTCTTTCTCATTTAAATCTGGAGTTAGGCAGTTCAGATGACTCTGTAAGATTGTTAAGAGAACCGGGCTCCTTCTGGCTCACTACTGTGTGATCCATCTAGGGTGGTCGAAGATGGTGGCTAGAATTTCAGCCACAGTCCAGTCAGCAGAATGGAGGAAAGGACGAAGAAGAGTCAAAAGCTATTTGCTAGCTTTCCCTCTCTTTCTTTTTTTCTTTAAATATTTTTCTTGTGGTAAAATATAGTTAGCATATTTTATCCGAGTGTCTTGTTTTATGTATAGTTTCTAAATTTTCTCTGTAATTGTTATATATATACTTATTTTTATTTTATCAGATTGTTCTGTTAGTCCAAGTTCTCAGAGTGTTAATCTTGCTATTTCTTATGTCTGCTGACTTGTTAAATCTGCTGAGTCTTAGTTTTGATGTATCATTTTCTGTGACTTTCATTTTGGGCTTATCTTAACCAGAGATTCTCCCTACCCCATGGAATTCCCATGGATCAGATATGAAAGAATCTTTCCAGCACACTTTGGTGATTGATTTTACCAGGTACCTCAGATTACCACTGACCTAGATCCATTTTTGTATTTTGACCTGTTGTTTCCCCACATCATGGGTGAAGGATAAATTTAGCCTCCAAATGCACATGGTTGGAGACTGGGCATTTGATTTTTCACAGGAGATTTTTCCCACTGCCTCTCAGAATTAGGAAGATTCAGGCTTCCTTACTGTTTTCCTGAACCAGTATATGTAGTATTTTAAACTCCCTTTCACTGGAGTTGAAATCCTTTAAGAATCCCAGTTTTAAATTCTAGCTAAATTTAGTCAAATTCTAACTAAATTCTAACTCCTTATTATGTATCCACGCGTGTCTTCCTTTGACTCTACATTAACATTTAAATCATGCATCTGTCCATTTCTGGATCTGATATCTACCCATTAAACAGCTGAAGCAGCCATTAGAATTCACTACTTACTGCTCTGGATACTCTCAAATCCCACTTGATTTTTGGTTATTTCTTTCTCATATAATTCAGTCATACAGTCTTGGACTATTCATTTCATACAGCAGTATTGCCAGGGGTTTCCTAGCAGGATAGTATCTGTGCTAACAGGTCTACCATTTTATTATAACTGGAAGTCTCCTTAATGTAGTTACATCCCTAGATTTTCTGCTGATGTCACATTATTGCACCTTACTTCACATGTGTGTGTTTGTGGGTGTGTCCCAATAGACAACATAGTCATCTCTGGAGTTAGACTGCCTCCATTCAAAACCTGTTTCTAGTGCTTCCTAGATTTGTAAACCTGAACAAGTTATTTACTTTCTTTTTGCATTCATATTTTAAAAATAGATAACTTAAGGGTAGCCAAATCATAGATGTATTGTGATGATTATATGAATTAATACATGTAAAGTACCACAGAGGAATTCTGGTGGCATAATATTTAACTGATAAGCAGCCAACTGATAGGTCAGCATTTGAATCCACCACAGCTCCATGGGAGAAAATACCTGGCAGTCTGCTCTCATAAAGATTTACAACCTAAGAAACCATATGGGGCAGTTCTACTCTGTCATATATGGTCTCTATCAGTCAGGATCAACTCAACAGCACTTGACAGCAACAACAACAACAAAGCACCATAAGAAGATGCCTACTAGTAGCAAGAACTCAAAAAATGTTAGCTAGTAATACAAATTATTCAATGGGTGGTTCCTACAAGTATTAAAAGTTCTGTTGAAAAAGTTTCAATTGTTTGAGACAGAAAAATGAACTAGAATGGAGTTTTAGCTAATTACTGTAAATCACAGCTTTTATTTCATGTGCCAGTTCAGGATCAGGGTTTTAATGTCAGCATGTTTGATTTTGATGTTCCAGAAAACATGGAGGTGGATTTAAAAGAATTCTTAATGGGAATGAAAGAAATTCCAAGTTTCAAAAAGTCCATAGGTAAGTGTGGTGTAGTGAATTACATGGTATAGCTTTTCCAGCCATAGTCTTTGTAACTCTCACTTTGCTGTGGGCAACTGCGTAGCTGCTTGTTAAAGTCATACACCTGGGGCAGCATGAAGTTATCTTCTGGGAAAATTTGCTCTCTCAGGTGTGTAGAACTCTGATGTTGGGATTGGTTGTTTTTGCCACTCTGCCATGCTCAAAATGAGCCCTTCTAGAGCAAGAAGAAATCTCTCTGCCTGCTGGCTGAGACAGATATGCTACTGAGAGAGAGACTAAGAGAGACTGCCGGCTGAGAGAGACTGCCAGCTGAGAGAGATTAAGTGCGTTCCTGAACTTGAATTGTAGCCTGTTGCTTCCCTAATAAACCCCATAAGCTGTGAGTTGTGTGTGGCCACTGTAGTGAATTATTGAACCCAGCAGAGAGGTGGTGGGTGCCAGGGGAGGAGGGATGGTTGGTGTCAAGGTTGGTAAGAGGGCTGGAGGGTGGTGGCATGTCTGGCCTCATAGGAATAGGCCTTGGGTTGCCAATGGTGATTCCGTCCTCCTCTTGTGGAGTTAGATGAGGTCAAAAGATGCCATTTCCTTGCCCCTTGAGCAGTAAGTGATTACTTATAGTTCAAAGAAAAATTACTGGAAAATAAAAATAATGAAATAATATTTAAAAAAGTAATCACTATACAGATTTCAAGTTTTCATTTATACTCTCTCTAGTTTCAAAAAGTATTTTAAGTACTATGAAATGTAGATAATACAAGATATAAAAAAATAAGTGAGAAAAATGGAACAAAGAGGTAATGAGGGAAAAAAAAAATAGAGTTAAAGAAGATTTAGTAAGTACCGTTATTGTTATTGTGAGTCCTTCCAAAGATGCTTACGTTTTCCTTCACTGCTTCTGGATCTATGAACTAAAACATGCCTGGAAATTGGGTAGGGGGTCCCACCCAACAGAACTGTCCATCTATTGTTATAGAACCAACCCCGTAGATCCCTGTAATTCATATCATCTTATTAACACTGTGTTGCCTAACAGCATCGTTTTGCCCATGTTTAATGATTTCCACTTATCCTCCCTTTGTCCTTGAAATTATGGAGAACATTTCAATGTCAACATCTATTCCTAGTACCCAAGTCTTCAGAGAACACCTTCTAAAGAACTCTTCATAGACACGGACCCCTTCTCATGCCTTTTCCCCCAACATTTTAATATTTCTGGAATTAGGATACCTCTTAACAATTTACAGTTTGTTTTATCAGATAAATATTTTTTATTGAAATATAATGTACATACCATAAAATTCATCCTTGGAAAGTATAAAATTCAGTGGTTTTAGTATATTAATAAAGTTGTGCAACTGCCACTTCATTTCCAGAATATTTCCATCACTTCCAAAAGAAACCCTTTAACCATTAGCCATCATTCCTCATTCTACTTTCACCCCAGCCACTGACAACCAATAATCTACTTTTTGTCTGTATGGAACTGCCTTCTTTGAAAATTTTACATAAATAGAATCATGCAGTATGTCACCTAGATCTGACACATTGAACACTAATAACTGAACACCATATAAGTTGTGGGATAGAATCAAGGACATCATACATGAAGACAACAAAAGATCATTAAAGAGACAAGAAAGAAAAGATCAAAATGGATGTCAGAAGAGACTTTGAAAGTTACTCTTGACCAGAGAGTAGTTAAAACAAATGGAAGAAATGATGAAATGAAGGAGCTGAATAGAAGATTTCAAAGGGTGGCTCGATGGCTCAAGAAGACAAAGTATTGTAATGAAATATGCAAAGACTTGGAGTTAGAAAACCAAAAAGAACACACTTGACATTTTCCAAGCTGAAAGAACTGAAGAAAAAGAAAACCTCATGTTGCAATATTGAAGAATTCAGGGGGCAAAACATTGCATAACATAGGAAGCATCAAAAGAACATGAAAGAAATATAGAGTCACTCTACCAAAAATAATTGTTTGACATTCAACCATTTCAGGATGTAGCATATGATCAAGAACCAATGGTATTGAAGGAAGAAGTTCAAGCTGTACTGAAGGTATTGGGGTAAAACAAGGCTCCAAGAATTGAAGAATACCACTTGAGATGTTTCAACAAATAGATGTAATGCTGGAAGCTCTCACTTGCCTATGACAAGAAATTTAGAAGACAACTGTCTGGTTGACTGTGGTAGTTGTTTGTGTTTCAACTTGGCTA